CCGCCGCCGCCGCCGCAGCTGCAGCAGGCACGGCCTCTGCCGACGGCGCAGCAGCGTCATCACCGACGCAGCCTGCACCAGGGACGGCCTCAACAACAGAGGGGCTCGAGGCACCACCGTCAGGCGTAGCAGCAGCAGCAGCAGCAGCAGCAGCGCCGGGTGGGGGTCCCGGCGTCGGCAACGGTGGGCTCTTGGTCCCGAAAATTCTTGCGCGGGCCTCCGCGTACTCCCGCTCCCGAACCTCCACCGTCTTCACCTGCTTCTCCACGCCTCCGTTCCCCTGGCCCTGGTGGGGGTTCGGCGCCCGCGGGTCCCCCGGGCTGCGGCGCATGAGCTTGATCGGGGCCCCCTTGCTGCCGGTCGCTGCCACCGCCGTCGCGGTCGCCACCGCCTCCGCCGCCTCCCTCCGCTTCGCCTCGGCGTCCAGCGCCGACAGCAGGACCGCCGGCACCGCCGAGTCGGCGACGCGCACGAACGCCGTCACCTTCTGCGTCTGCTGCTGCTGTTGGCTGTTTCCGTTTCCGTTTCCGGCGGCGGGAGGAGGGGGAGACGCGACTGGCCGAGCATACAAAAGGGGGGGGGGGGCTGTGAAAAAGGGTGCGGCGGGAAATCATAGGACAAGCGCCGGGTACTAACAACGTGGAGCGTCCAAGCGCGTGCGGTACCGGGGACAACGCTCGCGCCTGAAGCGGCAAACGCTGCACGTCGCCGGGCGAGCAAGGCATCGCGATGTCAACAAAGCCAACCCAAAGCACCGAGGGGGGGGCGCCTACAGCAGTAATATTGCAGCCGGGTGTAATGGGGGAGGGCGGGTAAGCGAGGCAGATACCAAAACCAAGAGGGAACCAGTGCTCGTACCATCACCACGCACGCATCTACTAAACAATCACGAACCCACCTCAGAACACAAAACCCATGGAACATGTACCATCACCGCGCACGCATCTACTAAAAAAACACGAACCCACCTCGGAACATGAACACCATGGTACATGTACCACGGCGGAACACAAAACACATGGTAGGTACATCACCACGCACGCAGGAGAAGGAGGGCACCAACCGACCTCGGTTTCTTCTCTCTCTTCTCACCTCCGATCGTGGTTGCCGGGTCCATCCCCGCCGCCACGATGGCTTCCCTCTCCTGCGCAGCGTTGGCCTTCTGCAGCTTGAATCTCGCCGCCAGCCGGTAGGCGATGAGGCGCTGGTAGGAAGACCGGGGGGGTAGAACGAGGTGCGGAGGCTTGGGCTCCTCCATGTTGGTGACGAACGCCACCAGCTCGCCCTCCAGCTTGAGAACGTAGTCTTTGCGCGCACGGTACGCACAGGAGGCGGGGAAATCCGAGGGGTAGGGGTGGGGGTGGGGGTGGGAGCGAACTGAGGGGCACGGGAAGCGAGCGATGTGGCAGACGTTTCGTCTACATAACCCCATTCGTAGGAAAGCAACTTCGCTGTTTTTTGGTTCCACGTAATCTTCGCGAGAGAGATATGCACAGGGAGCCGGGTAGTCCCAGAACGGGGGGGGGGAGCTGAGCGATGCGGGCGAGCGATGTAGCAGAAGTTTCGTCGGCATACCCCAGTCGTAGGAAAGAAACGCATCCGCAGGGAGGTTACGGTGGAGGAAGGCCCAACTCGCGGAAAAATCTCTGGGAGGTGTGGGAGAAGCTAGACGAGACAAATCTGCGGCGCCCCTATAGTTTATATTGAAGTACTACTCTCAAGACTGGGATTTACCGCCGCAAGCGGTTTGGTTTGGTTTGCAGACCGCATGATGGTGCCCGGCGTTGCGCATAGCAGGAACGTATTCCGTACCGAACGTTTCATGGAACGAGTTTCATGGAACGAGTTGTGTCAGAGGTCGGGTTATTCCATACCGAACGTTTCATGAAACGAGTTGAGTCAGAGTTTGGGTTATCTTGAAGCTGCACGTGGGTGCGCAGCAACGTTTCCCAATATGACACACCAAGCTGCTGAGGCGTAAGGCTCCCGTCACGTGTAGTGACGCGCGAAAAAATGGTCTTCGAACAGAAGGGCGCTTCGCGACGTACCGCTTCGCGGTCGCCGCTACGCGTAGGCTGTATGGCCATGTCAAGCTTGAGCGGGTCGAGTTTTGAGATGAGATGAAAGAGACAAGAAGTGTAAGTATGAAACGACGGCCAGAGGATAGAGAGCTCTCAGCAAGAAAATACAGATAGATGTGGCAAGAAATAACACTGACATCTAGTGTATATCCCGATGGGGGCGGGGGAGGAGGATATTTACCCCGATGGATGCAACGAGCCCCATCCCTAACCCAACCCGACCCAAAGATATACATTGGTAGGCGCTACGTCACCGCTATCCGTAGTAAAAGCCTATGCCGCGGCAACCGCGGCGGTAAAGAGTAGGTTGCTGTACGCTAGGTTGCTTCACATGTAAGCCGAAGCCGCGGCGCAAGAGGGGGTAGGGTTCGGTTGCTGTGCACCGTGACAGCAGGAATGTAGTGCTAGGTTGCTGTAGGGTGGAAAGCTAGCTTGCGGTGCACGGGCTGCACCTGCCCAAGGAACGTTCCGAGAAATGGCGTTCCGACACGGAGACTTCCACTTTTCGACCAAGTCGCGACAAACACAACTTGAGGTGTAGACTGCTGTGCGCACGACACCGGCCGCAATCCCCCCCCCTGCTTGTCGTCGGGATCGGGAGGGAGACGCACTGCAGCAGTAGGATGCTTTGTCTCGTGGCATGCGGAGACTTGGTTGGTTGACTGTCGCGTGTGGCGAGGTGTGTACATGCAGTCAGCGCACACAAAGGGACCACGTCAGGCCTTTATATGAAGGGCCTGGACTGTCAAAAAAACGAGCTGTGATTGGTCGAGTCATGGTATATCTCGGAGACGCGACTTTCTGCCCCCGCTAGCGCTGCGCAACGTCCGCAGCGAGATCGCGCAGCACAGCGGGAGGGCCGTCGCAACTCAGGGCTATCGGTAGATGCGGGTCTCGCCGCGAGGCGAGGTCTAGGAGCGGAGAATCCGCAAAAAAAGGGCTCTAGTGGCACGAGCAAGCTAGGATTGCAAATGCTGGAAGCTGGTGGGCTCTCTGAGCCCGCAGGAAGTTCGTCTATGCGTCAATGTGGGCAGAAATCGCCCCGAGCTCTGAGCTTCAGCGCAGCCCATGCCTGAACCACCGCTACTATCCATCCGCCGTCGTTTTATCCACCCACCAAAACGCCACGCACACCCTTGTCATTCCGCGGAAAACGTTGGCAGGTTGTTCCAAGCCGGGATGTACCCCTTACCCTCAGCACGAATAGAGCTTGCAAGCCCCTTCCTTTCGCGGGTGATGGTTTCGCGGTCACTGCGTTCAGCGCCCGTGCGACTACCGTTCGTGTGGACGCCCAACTAAACTTTCCTCGCACAAACATCCCTTGGATTGTAAGGGCATGGGTATGTAGTTCTCCAACCGGTACGCAGCCTCTGTGACTCTGTTGTATCTACGTATACCGGTATTTACAGGTAAACTAGCGCGTTCTGTAACAGCGAGTGCTTGCACGTGACATGCGGTCACACTTGGGAGGGGAGGATGGCTGAACCCTCCTCGCGTTTACTGCTGTAGATAGACTGAGGTAAATGTCCCGCAGCAGAGTGTTCTCTTCGGCCCAAGGGCGGGAATCTGCTCGTAAGTATTTTGATGACAAAAAAGGTACAAATAAAGGGCGCGGGGAAGTTTAGAAACTAGAGTACGAGCGACGGGTTTAAAAACACGCATCAACTCGATCGATTTGAGAATTAAAATAGACTGCACCATGCACCAGTAGGTGACACGACATGAGATGACTATCATCACCCCCCTTTAAACGGTCTCGAACACTCGACAGCAGGTAAAGATAGAACGGTGGTGCCGATGTGGACAGATTCTTCAACAAAAGTTTCAAAATGTATCGTATACCAGTGCCAACGAAGATGCGCACGGTGGCTTCCCACACGACGAGCCAGCAGGATTTGCTGCTGCTGCTGTAAACACAGGAATGCAAAACAACTCTTGAGCTGTGCTGCTCTCTCTCTCCCTCTGGTTCAGATCATGAGATCCGGTCGTTCGCCATCCATCGGGTTGATGTTTTCTCCCGCCGTCCGTTCTGTCCTTTGCCAGAAAGTCTGCACACTGGTGGGGTGTTTGAAATTTGGAATTGCTGTCTGCTTGTCCCATGTCCATTGTTGTGCCTATAGACACGCCGGCCGAATCTCGACAGGGCTTAGCTTACGCAGAAGCAGCAGCGGGCAACACACGCGGAGGTTTCACTATCGGTGCAGCTAGCTCGCACCCAGGCATCAAAGCCCGCGTGCACACCCCACTCCTGTTGTCAAGGGAGGGGAAATTCCAGCAGCCCACCAGAGCTCGCATGTGGTGCTGCTCTCCCAAAAAACACGACACACACGCGTGAAAAAATATGACCTGTGGGGGTCGCCACCCAAAAAAGTCATACGCGATCTCTCTCTCCTTCCAAAAATTAACTGCTGCTGTTACGGCAAAGCTGTAGCGCCAACTCTCACCACGAGCATTGCCCAAGGCGTCCATCAGGGCCGAATCGACATCGTCACGAGCAACCGCCGCGGCCGTCGCAGTAGCAGTAGTCCCCGCGCTTGTTGCGCCCTCCTGCTGAGATGTCGAGGGGGGGACAGCAGCTGTGGCTGCGGGGGTCGACTTCTTCGATGACGAGACATCGGGCGCAGCGGGAGAAGAGGGGCCGCCCTCCGCGCTCCCGGCCTTGCCCGCGGCGGCGGGAGCCTCGCTCGCGACCTTATCCTGCTGCGTGTTTTGGTTTCATGCGTGAGTTGGGGCAAAAGAGGCACAGGGCAGGGAAAAACGCAACAGCCGCCGGCCGGCCGCGCACCCGACGAAAGCACGGGCGGCGCGAGAGGGAGGCAAGTCAGTTAGTTTCCAGCAGCAGCAGCAGCAGCAGCACCAGCAGCAGCGAACGACGACAAATAACAAGACAGTAGAAATCTCGTCGTCTCCCTCTTTGGCGCCCAAGCATGCACTACGGCACGCGATCCTCGCAGAAGCACGGCGGACGGCTGTCTGCCTCGCTAACACCCCTCAGCGAGCGGCGGCGGCGAACAACGACATCATCATTACTCCTGGCACTCTGTCGCTCAGGGCCGGGTTTGTTCATCAGCTCGAACGCGTGCAACCAAGTGGACCGACCATCAAACCTCCGTACCACAGGGCAGGGGGGGGGGGGGGGACTCACGAGGGATAAGGCGCCAACAGCGCTCTCCCAGTCTTCCTCGACCGCTGCCGCCATGCTGCTCCTGCCGTGTCGCTTCGTCTCTGTCCGTGCGACTTGCTCTCTCCAGAAGCGGCGGCTGTGGGGTTGGTTGCCTCTCGGCCCCCCGCCGCGGATTTCGCTTTCGCCAAAAATACGAAGAGGCATCTTTCGCTTTTTTTTTTTAGATTATCGTCATCCCGCAAGACCAAGACTACGGCAGTAGTAGATATGCAGACCCTTTTTACTCCGTGCTTGGTATTAGTCAGTACGCGTGCCTGTTTTGTGGGTTGGGGACAACTTTTTTCTCCAACGTAGGGGACAACGGAGTCGACCCAGTGTATACAAGTATTTCGTCTGCAAACATGAAACTCATTTACAGAGTACATATGTGACATGTTTTTTACGATGAAGTCCCGCAGGTCGTTCTTTGGAATCCAACCGTTGCACATGTTGTACCGCGAGCTTGCTCAGAACATACCGGGGGCGCTCTGACTATGTACTTCTGCTGCAGTTTCTCACGGCACTAAGGGCGCTGCCCAGCCGCCACCACAAAGGTCGTGCTGTCCTTTGAACATTTTGCACAATGACATTGACCGCCCCCACAAGAACATGGAGGGCGGACGGAGGAGAGGTGGGGCGGCGGGACTGTTTTCTCGAGACTGCTGTTGCAGAGCAGAAAATCACAAGAAAACGAGCATGTACATAGTGAATCGCACCATTCGATTGAGGGATAAGACGTTTCCTCCCCCCGCCCCAGGGAATTCCTCTCCAGTGACTTGCAACTGAAGAACGAACATGATCAAACGCACCATCCCCTTGCTCCGAGGAACAGACGAAAAATGGCTTTACTTTTCACGGCAGGGTAGCTCGCGGTGCAACATTGATCTGCCTCGCCATCGTGTGCACCCGCCGATTGCTGCTCCACAACCATTCGTGAAGCAAGACGGCCGATTCTAGCGTATGCACTAAGAGCGCTACATGGCACGTTATATCGGACATGGCGAACGACCATCAAACCGAGTCTTGGGAGAGAACGCCGAGGCCCTCTTCTACGATACGCCCAAGGCGAACACGCGCTAGCCGCGCGTTTCGAAGCGAATAACAAACGAGTTCGAGCTGTGCCCCCGGACAAACAACGTGACGCGACCATCTTCAAAAAGCCAATATGCAGCATCAATATAATTGTACTCTCCGTCACCTAGTCCAAGACTATGTACAGAACACCACACAGCTGTACAGCCTCTCACGCATCGCCATCATCGTCACTACTATCGCTCTGGTAAGCGCCCAGCAACGATGAGAGGCCTTCCCCCCCGTCCTCTTTCCCCCCCTCCTTGTCATCGCCCGTCGCCGCCGCCGCCGCCGCACCCTTCCCCTTTCCCGTTGCTGCAGAACCCTCGCTTTTGCCATCAGCACCCCCGGCCACGCCTTCTCTACTTGCACCGGAAGACGCGCCGCCAACAGCACCAACAGCCGCTGCCGCCGCCCCTGCTCTCTTCTTCGCCCGCTTGTCGTCCTTGCTCTTGTCTTTGTCTCTGCAAACGAGTGTCGGCATTTCGAGGGGAAGGGAAAGGGGTGCGTGAAATCAAGGAGATACATAGACCCGTGTGGGGGACGGGGGGGGGGGGGGCCAGGGGTAGTTGGGGGGCGGGGGCAGCGCAACGTCGACAGCACACGTACATGTCGCGGTCGGTAAAGAACAACCAAAACCCGCTCTAACTATAATAGATAGAAAACGCGCAACTTTGAAGCCAGAACAGGACGGGTCTCATTTTTCACGCCCACGATGTAGTCGTGACGCAGATTGCCGTCTTCTTCCCCCAACCCAGTCTCCAAAAGGATGCGTTGTCAGGTCTACAGCAGTAGTGGCCAGCAAATGACACTTCGTACGCGCCTCCTCCCTCGTGCAAGCGCCTGCTCTCCTCCCTGCTCAACTCCGTTCACAACCATTCCGATGCTCGCCAGCTAGGTGCACTAAGCACTACCGACGGATACTGCGCCTGCTTGTTCACCACCTCATGTGCACGCACTTTTTTCGCTTGGTCTTGATCTTGACGGCCACTACCGGTGGGGGTGCGCCGGCCCGACCGTCCTGCTGATCCTGGTTCCCCCGCCCACCGTCCGCCGGAGGCTTCGCCTTGGGCTTCTTCGGTTCCGCGATCGCAACTGCTTTGCGTGCGCAATAATCGAATCGTTACAGGCGCGAATGGGACGGGCGGTAGTGTCTCGTGGTGTCAGGGCGTTGTGCGAGAGGCATATTGACTGACACGTATGTTGTTGTTTTATTCACATTAGTAATCTCGTGTCAGTTGCTAATCCCAAAATCTAGCAAAAACTCGGTCCGTGGTCACAAAAATGCTAGAGCCATCAGAAGATCTAAAGAACACGCACACTTTGCAAGAAAAGGGTACACGAGTCGCTATAATAAGTCTGTAGCTCAAGATAAAGACTGCCCGGCAATTTTACACCGTACACATTGTAGTTTTTAAGACTCAATGGTGAAACGATGCGAACAACGGCATGCTACATACCCACGAATTGTAGCAGAACCCGCAAAAAACTGACGGCGATCATCTGCGATAGAGCTACCCATGTACCCGCATAGAGAGAAAACTTTCACGCCCCTCCAGTGCTGCTTTAGGTCGAACATCAGTTAGCCAAACCCTGCGACATAAAACGTACCCGTTTGGTTCGCCCTCGCCAGAGCGAAACCCCTCAGCTCCTCCGTTTCCCACTTCTTCTTTCGCTCTTTAGCTTCGAGCCGCTGCGCCTCTACCCCCTGCAAGAAGTTGGACTCCTCGTCATCAAGGGCTCGAGGGGGCGCTGCCAAAAAGGTGACGCGTGAAGGAAAACGGCACGTTGGGCGAAAGAAGTAGTTGTGTGTATTTGTGGGCAAACGCGGGCACCATGCGCTGGTGCTTGACCACCTGCAAAGTAGATGCCTCGAATACACCAAAAGGCTAACATTACTGTACGTACACCGGAGTGCGCGGCCGCAAAAAGCGTACCGAACATGGACGCCCGGACGGCGTCGAACTTGGCCTGCTTCTCGTCCCGCTTGCCCGCCAGCTGCTCCCACAGCGGCTTCTTGTCGGCCTCCTTGGCGATGCGCTCCGCCTCCCGGACATCCTCGGACTCTTTTCGAACCTCCTCGTTGAAGTCGATCTGTCGGCGGCGGCGGCGAAATCACACGGGGTGGAGATGTTGGGGCAAGACATACGTATCATAGGTGCAGGTGTCATTTCGACTTTTAAACACGTCACCTATTTCTACCAGCACGTGCTGTGTGCTGTTGTTGTTGTTGCCGGTGCTGGTTGCTGTGTGCGAGATTTTGGGTATGATCTGCCGGTACGTTGATTTTTCACAAAAATGCACGTAGATCCAGCAGCTGTCGGAACGAACATGTTCAAAATATTGTGCACACGGTTTGCTCCATTTCAAACCTCTATCGATTACGCTACATAAAACATAAAACAGTGAGTCATGCCCCCAGAGCCTGGAAGGTAGATCCATGGACTGTGTCAATTGTGGAAGACGCAGATGCTCTTTCTGGACATGTGTAATATATGCTCATCGGGACTGGTAAAGCCGATCCCATCCAAGAGTTTGTGATCACACAACCACCGGTGACTCTATTAACCCAGTACCCATCAGTTACAGACTAACAGTCCAGGAGGACGGAACAAGTACAATTAATACGGCATAAACAGATGTTACCGGACTCTCCCAGTCTATCCGGGTTGCAAACCGATACAGGCACTACTCTGTCCCGGGACTTGAACGCAAGCAGCGGTACAGTATGTCCCCGTCGAAACCATTTTTTGTGCTCTATTCAAGGACTCGGAAATTGGTACTCACCCCATCCTTTGACTCTAACACTGACGTGCTGACGAACCCGATATGCGCCATCCTTTCGGCAAGGTGCTGGGGTGGTGTTCCTCTGCGCTAGGGACTGCTGCGCTTGCTACTCTACACAACAACAAATGACAAATGACAAGCACTGCGGGAGTCCTCGCAGAATAGGAAAGATGCATACCCTCCACAACATTGCAGCGCCTCGCGAACGCATTGAAACCTTTTTTCAAATTCGCAAGCAACCGCGGGCACATCCATCGGCGGCACGGCCCGAACGACGCCGCTCCTCTCGCCCACCCATGCAGATGACATAGCGTCTGTGCTGCTTCTTCTCCGTCGTCGTCTTGCTTCTTCTGCTGCTGTCACTGCTGCGATCTTTTCGTGTCGTTTCTTCAGGTAAAATGGGCAACACGCTCGGTAGTGTAGCGCCGTAGTTTTTGTGTCATGTCCGCGCGCCTGCCCACGAAGCCAGTGCAGTGTGGTACCGGGCGCTTACTTGTCCTTGTCTTTCGCCAGGTAGTCGTGAACTACTATTTGCTACACCCGCGATATTTCCTGTAGTAACCCTGCGCTCTGCAAGTGCTCTACGCGGCTCAACATGTGGATAAGACGATCGAAAAGGGTCCTTGATTCCTGGCGACGGTAGAGAGTAGACTATGTATGTTGGCGAACAGCTGCAATCTTCTTCCCACCTGCTGCCTACTACCAGCTGCCCTGGCTACTGTCCATCAACGCTGTGTGCATTGTTGATTTCAGCGGAGTTCTACATCGCTGCGAAGAAAGAACCCCTTTGTAGCATGCACAATATGCGGCTGTACGTTGAACAACATGCAAACCTATGCGCAAGATTTTGGTGCCAAATCAAATCATTTTTTGACCTGCTGGAAACCATAGAAAGTGCGAGCAAACCAGGTGTGTGTGCGATCAATTTTTAAAGATCGATTGTCCCGCAAACAGAGAGGCTGCAAATGCCGAAAATGGTGATTCTGGAAAAGCTCTGGCCGAGAGCTTTTCCTTTTCCACGTGTCGGTCGTGTTTCGCACCCTCTCCGTTGTGGCGCAGTCGATCTTCGAAAATCGATCGATCTCACACCAGTGTGCCTTCGCCCGCACTTTCTTACCGTATTTGTGCCATCAATAATGTTGGAGTATGGACCTGATGCATAAGAGCTTTGCAACCACAAGATAGAAATGTTAAGAGTAGCAGCATTGTCTCCCCCATCCCCCAATGGTCTAACAACTTACGCATGCAGAACATGAGTACGCCCCCTTCCCCTACGCTCATACGTAGCCCCGTGCCATTGTCGCCCCCCTCGCTGGACGCATCCCTCTTCCGACGCCCCCTCCCCTCCCTGAAGACAACGTATCATGCACCCAACACAGCAGTCCCAGGGTCAAGGCTACACCCACTCCGATAGCGACGGTTCTTTCGACAATCACGACGGTGCTCCCCGTCCAAGACACGGCATCAGCGGCCAGGGTTGTGTAAGCGATAGAGGCGCGGGGGCGTACCCACGGCGGCGGCTGGATGATGGCTCCGGGGGTCGGAGGCCGCGGTGGCGGCATCGGCCTGCCACCGGCCACCGCGCAGAGGATCTGAAGACGTACGACCCTAAGGACATAGGCGAGTGCCTCGCGTGCTGTCGTCGTGTGCACTCCATGGTGGTGGTGCTTGTGAAGGGATTGTTGCATGTTGCCGGGACCAGCGGCATACTCTCTGAATGCGGACCTGTGTGACCCGCTCGCCCTTCCCACCGATACTCGTGACGGCGTTTCCCGTTTTCGTGTTGTCTGGCGTTCTCGCACATCCTGCTCCTTTCAAAACGGCGATCCCACGGAAAGGAGCAGAGCACTGACGAAGAGGATGCTTCCCCCTCCCCGTCTCCGTCCGCCTTTCCCTCCGACTCTCCCTGTTTCTCTTCTTTCCTGTGCTCGTGGGCTGACTCTTCTTCTGTGGGGGTAGGCCCGGATGAGTACGTGGCGCAGATGACAACGTTTCTGGAGCGGCGGTATCTGGCGACAATACACCGGACGATCGTCTCCGCCCAAGACCAGGAGAAAGACTACGCGCTCGCAGTCAAGTGAGACGCGGACAAGGAGGTGTTTCGCGCGGTGTTTTTTATGCTCGCTTCCTTTCTCTTGTGCTGTGTCATGGCTGTGTGGTTTCGTTGTTTTTTCAGCTCGCCTTACGGCAGTATGTTATGAGGGCACGGCGGGCGGCCTTTTGGATGACGGCCCGTCGATGACTCCTCACATTTTGCGCAACGCAGTGGTACATGTGTACTCACTCTGTCGTGGATGCGGCCAAAAATGACTCTTTGAGTAGACAGTTTGTCGACGCAACATGGGTGGTTTTATCATTCGTAGAACCTAAACCCTGTGTGAGGGACTCCATGCCCTGTGTTGTCCGCCCACCTGCGTGATGGACTGTTGGGCTCCGAGTGTGGCGACGTTTCAACGTGGTCAGAAAGAAAAGTACGGTGTTGTACAGCACAAAGACCACAACCTGACCAGAATTTGGGCGTAGATGCTGCGATTCGAAGCACGACACCATCTGACCCCATCCGACTGTTGCAAATTGCTCCCCACCCTCTACCGCCTGCGATCTCAGCGCCCAAGATCTGATCCACTTCGACTCGCGGCTGGCGTACTTGGTGCTGCACCGTCCGGATCTCTTATTAGAGGTACGTCGTACGTAGGTACGTACCCGGACAACGGGGAAAGCGTGGTTGGAGGAATTTCGCACGGGCGGAAACAGAGGAAAGGAAACACGCATGGTCGAAAGACAGGGAAGGGGGGCGAAGAGATAGAGATCCCCTTTGCGAAAGTGTGACAACAGTGGTAGCGTTACCTGGGGGGTGTCGCGACTCCCCGTCTTGGTCTCTTGCTGCTTTCTACCGCTATTTTGCATAAATCGAGCGGATTCGGACGCGAGTTGTGACTCGCGGTTTATCGCGAAAATCTGAAGAGCTGCATCCTCTTGCCGATGATGGTGTTGCAGTAGGGGCCCCGTCGCGGCCGGCATGGTTGTGCGAATAAAGTCACAAGAACGCATGTGGACGCTCGTTTTGTTTTTCGTCTAGCTAAGACTGGCGCCCTTTCGCCTTTAGTGCTCAGCCGGTAAACATTCGAGGTACGATGGTAGCTACGAGAAATGCGCGGACACACGCACGCACATGCCGCGTGTGTGGCTCACAGAGCGATCGTCTCTGCCGCCCGACACGCAGCTTATGCGCGAGGCACTGGGCGAGGTCCAAGCCCGTATCGTGGCGGAAGAAGCAGCAGAAGACGACAGCCGTCGCAATAGCAACAACAACAACGACAGCGGACGTACGCCGGTGCTGACGGTCAAGGGCAACGCGCACATCCGAATCACGCACTTGCCGCCGCTGTCCGACCTCTGCAAGCCGAACATCAGCGCAATCCGAGGCACTGACCTAGGGGTGCTCATCCAGATACAGGTTGGAAAGCACGCGGGGTAGAAGGGGGGGGGGGGGGGATCGGGGTTTGCCTGCTTTCCCCTTCGGCCGTTGACCACCCGCGCGATCCATTTCGAAACAACGCGCCGGCAATCCTGGTATTTGAGATTTCCCCTACCGCCTCCATTGGTAGCACTCGAGGAGGCCCTGTTTTTGTTCCACGTTGCCTCTCGCAAAAGGCTGCTGTCGTTTCAAGTTGTAGGCAGATTCACTTATTTATTTGGCGCGCGCGGCCGGAGATGCTCAGGGTACCGTGATACGCAGCGGCGCCGCTAAGATGCTCGAGGTTTCGCGGGAGTACCGCTGCCAGAACAAGACCTGCGGCGCGGTCTTCAGCGTGCACTCCGACATGAGCCAAGGGAACCTGCTCGCGCCGCCGGTGAGATGGCGTGGACGCTCCCAGCCTACTTTTTTCTTCACTTCACGTTGTTTCTTGGGTGTGCTCCATTTATTTTTTTTATTTTGCGATGATGGTCCTGAGCGTTCGAAAGGGTAGGTTTCGGATTTTTGAAGGGGGGGTACTCTCATGATTGTAGGCGACTTGATTTGCCGATACTCCTTGCGATCGATCTGCATCCTTTTTTTTTTGCTTCTCCGAACGCACACGAGGGGAACGATGCGGAAAAGACTCCCTGGGACTTGTCTTTCATTTCTCAACAACTGCGTCAAAGAATTTGCGTGGTCGCGCTCGACCGCTATCGTTTTCCACGGTTTGGCACCCTTTCACATGCAACGTCTTCCAAGGTAAACCCCGCGACCAGAGATTTTTCGATGGGAAATGGTTAATGTTCACTCCGCTAAGGACAAGAAATACGCCCCTGTTCCCCCTAAGTGGCTGACATACCTAGCTCCATACTTGTGTTTTTAGAAATATACATCAATACACAGAAAGGCTAGTATCCGTTCGAGATATAACCACAGTCGAAAGGGATGTGCTGAAGTCTTTTTCAGTGAGTGGAGGGAAACCTGTTGTGTTGTAGTCGTTGCGACCCTGCCGTGTTGGGTGCCTGTTGTTGGGGCCGGGGACAGACAACGAAGTTCATCACGAACGGATACATGTGACGAATCTTCTGTGTCTTGTGGACTGGTCTCACCCTTTCTTTTTCGCGGAGGGGGATTTTTATAGGACTTTTCGAAGGATGGGATTTTATGTCTTTCCCACTATGCCATTGGACAGCCTAACGGGCTAACGTACTTTCAAGTGCCTCGCTTGCCCCCTGCCCCCCCGTCCTGCTGCCACACTCGCCTCTCGCGCACCAACGCCTGGCGCACGCATGGGCTGTGTTCAGGTAACCACCGCCAGCCCTCCCACTTTCACTTACCCCCGTTCACTCTCGTTGTCTTGCCCAATCATCGTCGTTTCCTTGTTTATGTCCTGAATAATCACACCGCATGATAAAAAAAAAAATAGACTAGCTGTCCCGGAGTGGGCGAAAAGCAGTGCAAAGGGACGAGGTTCATGGAGCACGGGGACCACAAGTACAGCGATTACCAAGAGGTGAGGCGAGGCTACATATGCCTGACTCTTCCAAGTTGCGAGGGCGTTGATGTGTTTTTGAGTGCACTCGCATGATATGCACGGTGCAGAGTCGACACAGGGCGTGTGCATGTGTATGCTGGACAAGGTTCATGGAGCACCAGTACAAGGCTACGGGTTGTTGTTGTTGTTGATGATGATATCGTTGTCCTCACATGGACGACTACTTGTTTGCTGCGACGTGCTGTGCTAGTACTCCAAGAACAGTATATGCATGTACATTTTTTTTGCCATGCAAGAGTAGCACCGTGTGCGTAATCTTGGACCATCCATTGCGGCCAAGTTACCTGTGTCCGTAGCCTTGAAACAATGCTCCCCGCTATCGAAAGATGGCCTTTGGTTGGGCGAAGACCAGCGGAAAGTTGCATTGCGTCCCCGACCTTGCTTGCGCGTGTCGCTTTGAATTCCCCTCCTTACCTTCGATGCGCCCTTTGCCCATGCTTGACAAATCTTAATCGTTGACGTCCTCTCAGATGAAAGTGCAGGAACAGGCGCAGAAGCTAAGCGTCGGATCTATCCCCAGGTGAAACGAGGCATTTTTTCGAACTGTTGCGGGACACCACTATGAAATGGAATTTTCTCACTAGCCACCACACTGTTGTGGAAAGAAATGTGTCGACTTCCTGTTGAGGGATCACACGACGGGAGGGCAGTTCGTATGTACCGCTCAATGCCTCAAGCAAACTTTTGTTGCAGTGTCACCGCCCTCCAATGACGTGCTGCCGGTACTGTAGCGTTCGAAAGCGGTTGGACTTACTATTCCCGGTCCCGTCGTTCGTAGATATTTTTGTTTTTGTCTCGTCTACGGCGATACAACCTCATTTTTCGGTAGGGGAGCACAAGAATCTGGGAGCGCCTTGAGTCTCCCCGTAGGTGTGTAAGGGCCGGTTGCATTTGCGGGCGACAGCAGCAGCGGACAACGGTGCCCGATTGCAACACGAAGTTTTTTTTTCCCGTGTCTTCCGGATGGTTGTTCATAGAATCTTATTGGCTTGATTCCGAATTGGGCGCGGGTACCCACGAAGACAAAGGAAAAATAATCGTGTATATTTTTGGGGCGTGTTTCGTGCTTGGCATTCCCGAGTGTGGATTACGTTTGAGGTTACCCACGGTAGCTTGCTCTCCTGGCGGCTACGCGCACTAGATGATGATCGCCGTGGTGCATATCTTCGCCGCAGGTCAATGGTGATTCTTCTGCAGGACGATCTGGTGGACTCCTGCAAGGCCGGGGATGATGTGGTGAGCAAACGACGGGGGGGGTGGGGGGGCAGCTACACACTTGAAGAAGTGATGCGAGGTTCTTCGGTGCAAAGACCGCTGTGACCATGCATGCCAACGAATCCCCCCCCCCTCCCGCCCTGCCCCCCACTCGGTGTTTGCCATCGGGGTTTGGGTTTTCGTCGCTTGGCAACGACGTTGTTAAACAAGCCCCCCACTCGGTGTTTGCCATCGGGATTGGGTTTTCGTTGCTTGGCAACGACGTTGTAAAATAAGCCAATTTCACTTCGTGAACTCGGCAACCAGGTTACCGTTTTTTTTTTTTTACCTCGTTTTTTTTTTTTTTTTGCGGTAACCATAATGGTGGTCGAGTAAATCATGTTGTGCGGGCGAAAACCCTCACTCCGCGCAACGGGGGATGATCGCACCACGTTGTGTTAAAATGGTCAAGCTTCCTCGAGGCAGTTACACAGTGCTTACAACTGTCTCTGGAAGTGAAAGCACCAGAAAATAAATTAAGTCATACGTAGCTGTCATCCGTACGCAAGGAAGTAAGCACAAGATGCCGAACACCCTTAGCAGGATGCAGCTCACCCTTCATGCGACTCGCCAAATACCTCACGGCGCTTCGCGCTTGGTGATGTGAGAGCCTGGTCCGGTGAGAACCCGGCGTGCTCCGTCCTGGCTTTGTAGGGATGCGAGGTCAATGGTCAAACGACTACGGCATGCACGATTATGAGTACACCCCCCCCCCCCCCTCCCGCCCTGTGCCGCCCGTACCAAACAACGGAGGTGGTCGTGGGAGAGCTGTTGCGGAGATGGATGCCGGTGTTCGAGGGGGTACGTTGCGACGTCCAGGTCACGCTCCGGGCGAACAGCGTCACGGTCCAGAGCGGCGCGGACCAAGGCAGCTCGCAGGCGAGCAAGCTTTCATTAAGTACTCGATCGAGCAACTCCCTCCCCCCCCGCCGCGTTTTCTTCTGTAAATACGATAGTTGCTAAATGGACTTGCCCCGCTGATGCTCCGCACTGCAGGTGCAGTATATTCCCCTGCTGCGCGGTACAGCGGTCGACTAAAATGTGTGGTACAGGTGTTGGCGCGCAGTTGCAACTAGGCCGTGCCCAGGCTGGCGCGCGCGGTTGCGCGCTGTGGTGAGCAGGGAGCCCAAGGCATGGCTGTCAGGCAAACATGTGGCGTGGCGCTGCTCTTGTTCTTCGGACGTTCGCTTGGAATAATGGACAGTCTCGCGAATGGCGGTTGATTCATTACCAATCCCTGTCCCAGGGGAGGCTGCCTGCTTGACTCTGTGTCGAGAAAAGTGTGGGCGATCTTCGGTAGGTAACGGAGGGTTGAATCACGGCCGTTCGACGTTCCTGCCGCTTGATTTGTCATCGGTTGGCTCATGCTCGGCACGATTCTACCCCTTGGGTGATCGCATACGTTTTCTGTGCACAACCTTTCACGTTGCTGTGTACGTGCTGCAAGAACCTGTTGTGCTTGGACATGTGGACCTTGCCGCATCGCGAGTATGCTGCGACGGCCGTGCGTTCATTTTCGTGTGTTTGCTTATGGACGCACCATGGTCCCCCTCATACTCTCGCTTAAACCCTTAATAACGTGCAGGTGAGCGAGGAGCTTCGGCAGGAGTTCGTGGAGCTGTGGGAGGCCAACACCCACCGCCCGCTCGCCGTCCGCAACCACGTCATCGCCAGCGTTTGCCCTCAAGTCTTCGGTCTCTTCACCGTCAAGGTAACCCCCCCCCCCGGCAGAAAATGCCGCCTAGTTGCTGAATACCATGCACTCCTTTCCATCTTGTGGCGGAAGGAGGATCCGTTGCCGTTGCCGTCGGCGGTTTTGTGCGAAGGCTACCCGGGGTTTTGCGGGGAATTGTTGCATGCAGCGGCAGTTTTCATCACGCTGGTTTTTGTTCGGTTTTCGCTTCGTTCAGAGGGGCGTTCTTCGACTTGTTCGATACTTGGGGGTTGTTGTGTTTGATCTTGTGCTGGGCTGAATCCTCCCCCCCGCATCCGGCTAGTGGTGCCGTGGTTGTCCGAATACTTGAGCATGACGAGAACGTGAGTGAGTAAACGCACAGCATCACCTCCAACTGTATGGGCCACATTCAAACACGACGATACCGCCATTTTACCCCTTCCCCCCCGCGCCACGCGCGCGAACCCTCACGCCCCATCCTCTCACGGCGGGTGTGTTTCTAATACTTTTTTTTACTGTTTTCTTGTTGTTCTCTTGTCGTTCCCTCTCGTGATACCTCACACCCAGCTCGCGATCCTGCTGAGGCGTGTTTTCTTTTACGTTTTTTTGCTTATTTTCCGGTTGCTCTCTTTTTGTTCCCTCCCACGATGCGGTACTGTAAAACCCAGCTCGCGATCCTGCTGACCCTGATCGGAGGAGTCACCGAGACCGATCCAAGAGGGATGAGACGCAGAGGCACGCCGCACCTTCTCGTCGTCGGTGAGCTGTGGGTTTTCGAGAGAGGCGCTGAAGACGCGAGAAAAAGCGTTGCTTGTAGAACGGAGGGAATCGGAAGAGAGACCAAGAGGCGCTGCCAACCGCTCGCGTCCTATCGTGTCGTTTCGTAAATACCATTTTTTCTTTTTCTTTTTTGGCGGGGGGAGATGCACACGCGCCGGGCAGTCGGCCAGGCAAAGCAGGCAAAACGGGCAAAACAGGCAAAATATAATATTTGTTTTGTATGTTGTCACGACTGTTGTCGCTTGTGGTTGTATAGCTCTGGGGGGAGCGAATATTGTAGCGTATATGTGTGTGCTTCCGAACGTCCCGCCACGAGCCTCCAATTCCAGCATGTGCTAGTATTGCTTTTGAGCAAGCTCTGAGTCCCAGAATATCGACACGGGATAATTCTTTACGGAGGCACGGCGAATTGTTTTGGTCAATCGATCTCTCGTAGCGCTTCTCATGCCGAGAGACTAGACACAATACCTTCTGGAAGAGATCCCACCTGTTCCGGGCGTATTGTTGGTCCTCCCGGGATTTCGATGTGCATTTCAACTGAAAATTCCTCTTGCGCAGGCGACCCGGGGTGCGGGAAGAGCCAGTTCCTGCGATTCGCGGCGAAGCTTAGCCCTCGGTCTGTGCTGACGACCGGTGTGGGGACGACCAGCGCAGGGCTCACGTGCTCCGCTGTGAAGGTGGGCTGAGGGGCGCGGTTGGCCGTGTGCGTCGTTGCCGCTTTTGTGTTTTCCTGCTGCCACCGACGGCATCGTTGCCTTTTGATGGCCATGTTGATGTTGTTGGTTTCGCTGTTTTTTTTGTTTGTGGTGTTGTTGTTTTTGTCGTGGTCGTGTCATAATCAACGCCTTTGTTGCTGCCGTCGCGTTGACGTTCAGAAACGCTGAGACAACTTCTTCCTCTAGGGAAGCCGCGTCCTCTCATGGTTTCGAAACTGTTTGGTAGCTGCATTCAAACAAGACCTCACCGTGTCGTGAACTTCGCATCACAATAACATTAGACGAAACCATCATATCAGCCCGCACTTGCATCACAATAACATTAGACGAAACCATCATATCAGCCCGCACTTGCAATTTTTTTTCGGAAGCTCCTCTTTTATCACGGCGCCCCGCCGTGCATGCTCAACCCGCACCACCCACCGTCATGATGCTGTACCATGGAAGGATGGCGGGGAGTGGATGCTCGAGGCCGGCGCGCTGGTCCTGGCCGACCGTGGCCTGTGCTGCATCGACGAGTTTTCCGCCATTCGAGAGCACGATCGCGCCACCATCCACGAGGCAAGTTTGCTGTCGATGAACCACTTTATACCACCGCTGCGTCGTTGGGTTGGTTGACTTGGAAGGTACGAGACAGCGGGTGCAGGAGGCCAGGGTCTACACCCCGCGGGCTCGGCTGGTGGGGTTCAGCAGGCCCCTTTTGAGACCACGACCATGATATCATACGTTTCACGAGGTGGGGCAAGCACGCCAAGCGCTGCTGTCAAACGGCTTAAATTGCACGCCGCCTTCGTGCACGGAAAAAACCCTACCATCGCTTCACTTCGCGTCCCTCACCCAGTCTGCTGTTGCCATCTGTCTCAACGCTCGCGTCTTGTTCTGCCCGTGACCAGGCCATGGAGCAGCAGACGCTGAGCGTGGCCAAGGCCGGCCTGGTGTGCAAGCTCAACGCCAGGACGACCGTCTTTGCGGTCACGAACACCAAGGTACGGTGTGCGCTTTACTTCGTTTGGCGAAAGGTTTCTTCCAACCCAGACCCTCACACCAAGCCGCGCTTTCCTTCGGCAGGACGATGGTATCACGTGCGAACGTAGGCGTCGATCTCGCAGTATTGCTGCGACGCAAACGGTAAAGCTTCGTTCGCAGCAGGCAATATTTTTAGGTTGTTCTGCCACGGGCTACAGGTCGTCTTCAGTGTTATACATCGCGCTCAAGGGTACATAGCAAAGCGCGTATCCCCCCTCCCGCTCCGAACGCTGCGAACTGCGAACGCAGGGAACGTACGACGCGGCGGAGGACATGACAGTCAACACCGCCATCGGAAGCCCCCTCTTGTCCCGGTTCGACCTCGTGCTGCTGCTGCTGGACACAAAGAACAAGGCGAAGTGGTTTCCATGTGTGCTCTGTGGTTGGGGTGGTTTGGCTTAAACTGGGCTGCTGTAGAACAATCGATGTCGAGGGTAGTTAGTCTAGTCTGCGAGTGCAGCTCGGAGTACAACCGGAGGAAACTGGGTGTTGAATGGGGCTAGAAGGGGGGGGGGGAGGAGAGGTGCGGTCATAGGACAACAAAGTAAATACTGCAAGGTTGGGACGTGTATGCCCAATGCATGTGCTGTATCATACGCGGGGCCTCGTACCCCCCCCCTCCCTCCGCCCCGGTCTCCCACCCCATATGTGATATCGCGTTGCTCCCGCTATGGGTCCGCCTTATTGAAAACCCAAACCATAGCGACAGGACCCTCCTTCCCCCGCGTGTCTTTTCTGGTCCCTTGAACGCCGTGCAGCAATGGGACAAGGTGGTATCGACGTTCGTGCTGAGAGCCGCGATAGGTCCCGCTGCTCCACCCGTCCGTCCCAAGGCGGTTGCTGCTAAGACGGCGGCAGTGGCACCTCGCGGTGGCAGCAGCGGTGGAGGTGGTTCCAGCAGCTCCAGCCAACCAGGTTTGGAGTAGCGTGGGACATATCGGCATCGCTTCTTTTCTGAATGAAATCATGATTCAACCTTTTCTTTCCGTTTCGAGCGTGTCTATTTTCTCCCGCATGACTTCGGTTGTTGTCGATTGACCCGCGTCACGCCGTTTCCTTGGTTGATTATAACGTACGTATTGCATTCCCGCCCACATTACAGGGAAACCCGCCGCCGGGGGCCCCGCGGGGAGAGGGGAGGAGGAACCGGTCTCAAGCAAGCCCTGGGGCACGGAAAAGCTTCAGAAGTACCTGTGCTACGTCAAAGACACCTTCACTTCGGTGCGGCTTTCGAAAGACGCGGAGGTGAGTGGTTTGTACAAATTCGACCAGGCATTTTTTGGTAGGAGGCGCGATGAGCCCTGGAAGAGGGGGCGAGGTATACTCGCCGTCAATCAATCAATCCGCGTGTGGCATGCCCATCTTCCGCTCACAAAGAATCAGCACCGACGCATAACAGGCTACATTTGCCAATATTTTGCCAAGTTTTGACAACCCAACAATTCAGCAGAAAAAGGTTTGTACAGCAGTAGTAGTGGTGTCCCTCCAGAAACCGGTCGCCATGCTTAAGGCCGGTGAAATCGCGTTACACAGGCGACGTATTGCAAGTTGTGTCTCATACTCTGAATGTTGCCGGGTCCCCGATGCAAGGCCACCCGCCAAATCCCTTGTCACCATACGACCTTAGACAGGGACCACTACCGTACCGTAAAGACCTCGCTTCGCCGGTGGCATGGTTGTTCCTTCCGTCCTGCACGTGCCGTGTACGTCGCTGTCGCGCAGGAGGTTGTGGGGAAGTACTACCAGAGCCAGCGGAGCGCCGACAACCGATCGGCGGCGAGGACGACCGTGCGACTGCTGGAGTCTCTCATCCGCCTGGCCCAGGCACACGCGCGGCTCATGTGCAGAACCGAGGTCACCCTTCAGGTGTGTAGAAGGGGTTGGGTTTTGTAGCTGCATGTATGTTTGCTTTGGGGGCGGGGTGCGTGAACATTTCCTCCAGCCCTGACTATAACGGAGGGTAGTTGAACAGCGATTTGTCGAATCTCACACTTTTGTGGCTCATTGTCGATACTCTAGGTGGGCGCGCAGTGGGCGCGCATTTCTTGGGCAGAAAAATGGTCCGTGGTTGATCCTTGTTTGTTGTTGGGTGTGTACTTTCTGGCAAAGACCGAGCTTTGGTCGAATTTAATACTGCTGGTGGCGGACCTCTCCAAGATCTTAGGTGGAACGAAAAGTAGGGGTGGCCAGGCATATGGCCATGTCTGCCGAAGGCCACGGTGCGCTAGTCCTCGCCTGAAGCAGCAGCGGTAGCACGGATGCCAGGGCACGGTTATGGTGCGCATGCCAACCCGGACAATGCTCACGAGTGCACCCGGACTTTCCTCTCGAGTGCTCTCTCTCTCCTCTCTCTCTCTCTTTCTCTCTCTCTCTCTTTCTCTCTCTCTCTCTGTCTGTCTGTCCATCTGTCTGTCTCTGTCTCTGTCTCTCGCGTGCGTGCGGGCGCGTCTTTGGCTGAATCTTCGCAGGATGCCGTAGTGTCCGTGATCTGCGTGGAAACGTCCTTGCACTCGACGGCCCAGCTAGGCGTGGACTCCGTCCTCCACAGCGACTTTCCCCCGAATCCCGACGAAGGTGAGCTTGGATGGCTGACGCATTAAAACGTAGGTTCACAAGCGGCTTGTGACAGGATGAGATGATGCCGCTTGATTTTTCCGGATGCTGCTCTCTACCTTACCTGCTTGTAAACGTTGTGTGTGTTTGGAGGGTAGCTTTGCTCATCGACAGCCAATGACTCCAGCGTACACCGAAGATGTGCTCTACCGCGTGTCACCGCACGCTCCTCTACCGAGGGTGGAAGATGTGCTCTTTGCTCTCGTCGAAGATTGCTTGCTGCATTTTTTACATCACCGCCACACGTCTCGTACGTAAATGCAGTAGGAAAAAGGCTGGTGCTGCTTGTATTCCCATGGTTAAGCCTCTTGTGGGTTTGTGTCGAAGGCCACCCCCACCGCACTTCATATCTGACCTCTTCTTTATTAGCGACCCCTTCGCGCTGTTGTGACACCCTCCGCTGTTTTTGAGCTCCTCTTTGTTCTGTCTTCGCCCCCTGCTTCCGCTGCTCTGCTCTCCTGCCTTGTGTCAGAGTTCGAGCTTCAGCAGGGCCTTATCCTGGATCGGCTCAAACTCAGGTGAGGGGTATCAAAGCGCGGTTGCCCTGGGTACCACTATGCTCGCCATGAGTGCCAATCGGCGTACGTACGTAGACACGGTGTTGTTTGGTTGTGTGCGGGACACGCTGACCTCAGGTGATCAGGCGCACCACACCCGACGGGTATCACCACTGCACTTTGTTTACGATGGCCGAATACCTGGTCGCCATGGTGCAACTGGTTAGACCTTGGGACATCGCACGTGTTTCCCACGCAGGCAAAGCATGAAGGAACGCGCACCACCAAAGAAGCGTTGAGCCATCGACATCCCCCACCCTCCCCCAAACAACTGGTATTTTTTTTCTCGCAACCATCTCCACCGCAGGAGTCCTCCGCCGCCCCCCGTCGTTACTCGAAGGGGTCCCGGTGGCTCGGAACGTTTCTCGGGGGGCAGCAGGAGCCAATCCCAGCGTGGTGGCAGCAGCCAGGAGGACCCCCGCGACGGCGGCGGCCCCGCCAGCAGCGGCGGACATTCGTTGCAACCGTCCCCGTCGACAGAGGCAACGGTCGTCAGGCGAGACAGGTGGTCGGGCGGGGGAGGGCCGGACGACGGCGTCGGCGGTTCTCGTGGAAGCAACAGCACCACCTCCAGCGACGGCAGCGCGACGGCACCTCTTCGCGGACTCCCCGAGCGCGGCCACCCCCAGCATTCGCGGGAGGACACAGTGCGAGAGGGCGGCTCGCAGCAGTGGCGGCGGGGTGGAGACGAGGTCGCAACGACGGGTTCAGCGGTGGACGGACCCCGAGGAGGCGGAGAGAGGGGAGGGCTTTCCACTCCTGCCCGCGGCGTTGTTGTTGCACAGGCTATTAGCGGCGGTACGCAGCGGCGGCGGCGGCGGCCGGAGCGAGAGGAGTCCGGCGGCGGCGGCGGCAGCGGCGAAAGGGAGAGGCGATTCGAGGGGCCCGATGGGGTTTCGAGATCCCGTGGCGGTGGAGATGGAAGAGCGGCTTCTTCTTCTGCGGGACCGGACGGGGAAGGTGGAAGGTGGGTCGCGCTTGGTCTTGTGATCGCGCGCGAAGTATATACGTCGAGGGAAGCTTTGGGGTGTATTGATGCTTGGGGCAGCAAGGACCCAGGGCTGTTTCGGTGCCTGCATTGTGTGTGTTTTTCGTTTGCGTTGTGGTCTATGGGGATGGTGGGTAACGTGGCGGCTCTTTGACATGCTATTGTTGGGGTTTTGTTTTGTCGTCTTCAGCGTGATCGGGGCATCGATCTTTCCTCCCGCCCTCACGTACCACGTTTGCTGGCCACTGCCTTAAGAAATTTCTATCTATTTGCAAAGCCCCCCCCCCCCCGCGCCCCGGCCTGGCTCCCTCCCATTTCCCCGTGGATCCCCCTGCAACTAAATTGCTGCCCCCTCCCGTGTTCTCTCCACATGTCATTTTTTGTGTTTGGGAAGAAATACATGAAGGTGCAGGGAGGTACCTCACTCCTGTCTCCCTCTTCGCGCCCCAACCTTGTCCACGTCCCCCCCCTTTTTCCCCCCCAGGGGGAAAGGGGTCAACGGCGAAACGCCCGGGTCAAATTTGAAACGGCGGCGTCCAACCCAACAAGAAAGGGCCCGGGGGGCCCCTTCCCGGAAAGGCAACAATTGGGGCGAACTACTCCTCCTGAAACCAATACCGGGGACCCCCGTGGAACGACGGTAGCGTTTTCAACGCGTGGCCAAGTCTTCGTTGCTTGTACGACTTTTGAACCGTAAGCTCGTGGACGACCTTGGCAGTAAAACGCCTGCGGATCTGGTGTCCTTTGTCTGCTGTGTATCGCGGAGTTCTGCCCGTTTGTCGCTCGATGCGCGCGGCGCGAGCTTAATTTTTTTTTCTTCGCTTGTGGAACGTGCTGTGCGTTCACTTCAAGGGATCGGCGAGAGACATGCGTGAATGGTATCTGTTGTGTGGTGTGTTGTACGGTCGAGTGACAAGTGTTGTTGGTGTGTTGTAGCGTGTTGTATGGTTGAGTGACTTGATGACTGCTGAAAGCAACATTCTATTCCCAAACCTTGTCTCCGAAGGTGCTGGTGTAATTGCCTTTGTTTATTCGGAAAAAATAAATAAACACACAGAAAGACTACCCATTGTTTATGTCACGTTTTGTTTTTCCTTGAATTGCGGGGTTTGTCGACCCAAAGAGGGCAGTACATAGATCAAGGAGCTGCTTGGCGGTATCCTATTTTTGTCGGTTCATCGTATTCCCGCCATGTTTGATCGTCCCATCTTAGACTAGATGAAATTTTCACGGGGGCTGGTGTTAGGGGACACTGCTGTGTTGGGTATTTCTGCAGCATGTAACGAGATACCCTTTGGTGGGTGTGCGTTGTACACAAAAATTGTCTCCTCCGGTTACGGCCTTATCTCGGTCCCGCTGCCTGTTTATTTGTTCCCTCAGAGAGAGGGAGAGAACGCATGCCAAAGAGGTAAAACGCAAGCTGTTTTGGTTATCCCACCACATCCACACAACAAGTTTAGTTTAGCCGCATTTAGTTACTTCAACAATCGGTGGTGTCCCGATATGGCCCGTCGTTGTTTTGAGTAAGATAGGGAGCCAATCAGAGGTAAACAGTTCCCGGCAGAGAAGGTACCAACTTCGCCCCCCCATCCTCCCGTGAAACTGAGACCGATAATCCCCCCGCCTGGGAGGTTCGAGGGTGGATTGGTCGAGGTAGGGTTGGCTCTGTTGGCATGGAGCTGTAAAACTGCTGTTAGGGCGTAGGCGCTGTTTATGCAGTATATCCTGTGAGAGTGTGGGCTTCGGCCCCAGAGTTCACACCCTATAGGATGTCCAGTGAACAACGGATAGTTGGAACACCCAAGGGCAATTCTATTTGTGAACTGCTTCATCTGGAAGTATTACACCTGAGTCATCAGCCAGATATTGTGTGTCACACATGAAGCGACGCATTCGCTGTGCGTGTCGCGCATTTATTTGCTTTCTACAGGCACGCAAAGATCGAAGCCCCTGCGGACTTCAAGTAAGTCGTGCCTGCCGAATGTGAACGTTTGGTTAGCCGGGATGCCCAATCAACCCATGGCACGTCTGGTTTGGCGCAGCAAAGGCCAGGACGATGACAAGCTTCTGGTGCACCCTTGTGAAACGTAGCCAGGGCCGGCGAAAACCCGGTATATCGCTCCCGTCCCGGCATTAGGTTGCTGGTGTACCGACTAGACTATGCGGCATGTGTTTACATGAGTACACGCCCCCCCGCTAGTCACTGGAATTAGACTTAAAAGATAGTAACGAACAATGAAATATATATGCTGTAGGGGCCACCCGCCGGGGGGCAGGAGGTGTCACTCACCAAATCCACTATTATTGCTTGTTAGCGATGAACAACGGCGAGAAAAATTGCAGCACAGGTAGAAATTGGTAGTCGCCGTTATCCTCAAGCCTTCTTTTGGCTTTGGGTTTGACATCAAGAAACTCCGTTGTTGTGTACTTCGAAGTATGATGAGTACGCGAGCAACGTGTTTGTGAGATGGGAAAAGAGAGAGGACCAAGAGGCAGGCGGTCGACCGCAAAGTAAAGGGTTGCTCCGCAGTGATTTGGATGCTGTTGCCACCCCTAGCGCAGTGTAATGAACGAACGTTTTCTCTCTCTTCCCCTGGCCAAGCTCCTACTCACCCTTGTCTGTTGCTCCCTGCCTATTAGCCAAAATAAATAGACCTGAGATGAGGCCGGGGCTACCCCCCCCTACCTTTTTTGAATTTTCTCGCTCAATCGATTGAGAGAGGCGATTTTCTTGACAAACAACTCTTCCCTCACACACAGCCCGATCGTCTACGTAAGTAACCCGACGAGAATCGAAGGTTTCGTTCACCACCGTAGAGCAAATCTGACGCTCGTGCAGGAAATGCCCCAGTATAGAGTCTAGAAGAGGACGTCGAGAGAAATCTAAAAAAATCCAAAATGTGCACAACAACAGTTCGGGGGGGGGGGGTACCGGTGACAGAGATTGGTTAGCCCCCCCTGCCCTGCCCGCGCGGTTTCCTGAGGTGTGATCACACACGACTCCTGAGGTTGCCAAATCGTGCTCTGGATTGCGAGCGGAGACGCTTGCCTCTCAGCACATCTGAACAACAAGGGAGGGTCGCGGGCGCTGTGCCGTGCCTGGTACATCGCCCGGATCGCGAAGAGAAAAGTGGAGGGATACCATCCAGATAACCACTCATCATGATGGATGTGCCGCATATGGAGGAGGTGATCCGCAGCAGCTTCGAAGCCATCAAGGGCAAGGGGTGAGTGGTCCTAAGCCTGTAGGCCAAAGCAAGGGTGGATCGCAGGTCTTTCGTATGTTGGGTAGACTTGAGGCGGTGTACTTCGCCGGTGTGTGATCAGCCGCTCCATTGTGGTTGTGACGTGAATTTCGCTTGGTGGTCCTGCAGCAGCAGAGGCCGGATGTTGGATGTTCGGCTGGTATCTCGATGTCTCGCTTTGGACTCTGTGAATTCCATATCGGCAGCCCCAAGCCGGATCTTCTTAAATATAAACAAGCGGAGGGAGCTACAGTCCACGTAGGGATCCCGCATCCCGGACTTCTGCCGTGGACAAGCAAGTGCCCAAATTGTCAAAGATCGGGCTCTCTGGCCACTTTTTTTTTTTTTCACACCCGTGTTTTGCGTTTGAACCGAAACGAACCAACCGTCACCACGCTGCGGGGGAAAGACGGACGCAAAGACGGCAGCTGCCGATATCACAGAGCAGTGGTAGCACCAAATCTGTCAATTGCTTGTGTCATTCTCGTGCAGGTTGGGACCACGTTGTTGATGAAACTGATGTTCCAGACTCGGCCTAATTATTGTAGCCCATGGACTGCTGCATGATGCTGTAGTCTACAGCAGTTGTGTGCGCGGGCGTTTCGCGTCATACCATCGTCATGCGCAACTTCACTCGCTGGCTAATATCTGTACCGTACTGCCTGCTGTTCGGCAGTTTCATGGCAAGCAAACAACGTACTCGGTGCCCACACAAACGTACGCTACGACAGCATAGTAGATGCCAAACCTGCTGCGTACGCTTCTGTCGCCGTCGTGCGTGCACTGCTGTTCAACAGGCCCAACGACCGCAGTCTACCCCGCAGCTTCATCCTCCGCGTTGTGGGGCTCTGGCTGGTGGACATGATGGTGTTTCCCTCCTAC